ACACTAACAATAACAATAATAATGATAATAAACATCATCATCAAAGGCACACATTCCATAACTTTCACCCACACACAAACGCATACACTCTGCTTTTTTGATTGAGGTTAAGTGCAATACCATTCACTTCCAAGCTAACAAGGAATATCTAACTTCTGACAAAAATATTAATTGATAAATAAGGAGTATATACATTTTTATATTTACAAGGAAACATAAATACAGACTGAAATTTTATGTTTGTTGCATCACCAAGAACTGGTCATCAGAGTGAGAAGACAGAAAGGGTGCATAGTCAAAAGTTCTTAACTATTTTGTGATTAAAAAAATAAGTACATAATTAAATGTTTTTGTTATCTAAAAATAAATAAATAAATATACTAATGCAAAGCTTCAAGTTTACATTAATGACCTTGTAGCAATATTGAATACTTTAACAGGCAGCAACATTGCTGTTTTTGATCAGCCTAAAACTGACAACGGCCACAATTGCTGTTGGCTCAATGTTAGTATTCAAAATCTGACATGTCAGTTTCTGTAGGTTTTAAATACAGCCCTCTTTAAATTTCTAGCTTTGTCTGATTTATAAATTCCAAAAGTAATAACTAAATATCCAATTACATTTTTCTTAGCTACACTGAATTCCTAATAACAAAATAAATTTCTCTGACCATTATTCACAACCATTCAGGTATCATTCTAACACTGGAGAATAGTGGCATGAGCCACTAAAATATTTTCAATTATCACAACCAACCCAAGAGAAATGAACTGCAAGTTTGTACCACAGGTCAATCCTGTTGTTTGATGAAAAATGTGTAAAAATTAATAATAATAATAAATCACTACTTACAGAAGTGCAAGTTCTTCACATAATTGAAAAAGTAATTTATTGCTTGAATAAAAACAAACATTAATTACAATCTTATCTAACCTCTTTTCTATATTCCTCAAATATGATGTTTTTTGTGTCAAATTAATGCATACATTCTAAGTAAATTCATACATGTACAATCATTTTTCTAACAATAGAGGTTAGAATCCAAGGTGCTGTGTGTTGTTCCTCACCCAAGGCTGGTGCGTTGACGAAGGTTGTGCTGCTGGACACCAACTGCCAGGCATTCTTTTCCATCCCAGTATTAACTGCCACTGTTAAATGAAGAAAATACAGGTATTAGGGAGACTACTCTAAATATTAAATATGGTAGGCTGTTGGAAAAATAAAAAGCAACAACATATACATAATCAGTAAATAGCTGTTAAGTTATATATATATATATATATATATATATATATATATATATATATATATATATATATATATATATATATATATATATATATATATATATATATATATATATATATATATATATATATATATATATATATATATTTTTTTTTTTTTTTTTTTTTTTTTTTTTACATACATACATACATACATACATACATATATATATATATATATATATATATATATATATATATATATATATATATATATATATATATATATATATATATATATATATATATACATACATACATACATACATACATACATACATACATACATACACATACATACATACATACATACATACATACATACATACATACATACATACATACATACATACATACATACATATATATATATATATATATATATATATATATATATATATATATATATATATATATATATATATATATATATATATATATATATATATATATATATATATATATATATATATATATATATATATATATATATATATATATATATATATATATATATATATATATATATGTATATATATATATTATATATTATATATATATATATATATATATATATATATATATATATATATATATATATATATATATATATATATATATATATATATATATATATATATATATATATATATATATATAATATATATAATATATATATATATATAATATATATATATATATATATATATATATATATATATATATATATATATATATATATATATATATATATATATATATATATATATATATATATATATATATATATATATTTAATTTTATATGGGTGCCATATAAGTCTGAAAAGAATAACAGTGCACAGCACACATTGCCATGATAAGAGAAAATAAATCAATATAGGAAAACCCTGTGTATGGGATTCATCAATTACAAATAAAAAAAAATCAATGTACATAACTCACCTGATCTTGAATGGGATTCCATATCAGGTAGACATGTCTTTTCATCTTTGCAAAGCTGAGTGATACCTAAGCTTGTTAAGGTATTTTCTATCCACACGCTTCCATTATACCTTAAAAATACTAATCTTTCGTGAATCTGCTGTAGCTGGTACCCTGGCGGTGCCAAGACACTTGGAGGCATAGTCCTCATACCCACAGGAATGGGACTGGGATTCGTTGCTGATGTGGTTGACACAAGCTTCAAACGATGTGTTAGGCTATCATGTACT